TATTTTCCGTCCGCACAATGTGGTGAACAGGGCTGTAGGCACACAAATTTGGGCAATGGGAGACAACCAAACATTTTCACTGAAAACCGAATTCAGTGCGTCACCCGCACCTGCAATTTCTTGCGCGTCGTAAAACGTCGTCGCAGGCTCTCGATCCTGTTTTCGCGTGTCCACCTGAAATTTTAAGTCAACATTTTTCATGGATGCGTCAAAAAGTTGCATAGATTTGGTGAGATAGGAAAAGTACGGGCCTCCAAGGGCTACTGCGTGCGTTCGCCTCTGGTGATGGGGCACGCATTTTTGTGGCCTTGTAGTGGCCCAGACACATGGCCCAGTCACAGTGAGTGCCGGGGCCTTTTTTAACATATTTAGTAAGGTAAAAATTTCCCATATTCGGTCACATTTTCTTCCCCAGTAACCAAATATTCCTCATGCTCGCAACTGTTCTAGCCCTGTTTCATCGATAAGCGTAAGGGTGCGAGACCTATGGTCCAAGCAAGGCGCAAATATATATACACACACACACACACACACACACACACGCACACACACACACACACACACACACACACACACACACACACACACACACACACACACACACACACACACACACACACACACACACACACACATATATATATATATATATATATATATATATATATATATATATATATATATATATATATATATACCTGCCAACAGTCTCACTTACTGCGAGACATAATCCTAGATTAATTCATGCGATAATTACCATGCAATCTATACTTCGTCGCAATAAAACTCAGCACTAAGCGGGATTCTCCCCGGATTTCTCACGATCCTGCACGGAGACAGCCCACGTTCGTCTCAAAGTTGCGGGAAGGGGCTGGGCCCAAGTCGGGATGTTTATGCCCCCGCCCCCCAGCTGAAGCCCTTTATTGTGTCCCATGTCGTCTGATGCACGTGGTGCAATCTCAGCATGTGCTGGAGTCTTCTTAACGTGTTAAGTGTGGATGGAATGCCTCCATATTCGGTCAAATTTCCTGCCCCAGTTCCCAGATATTCCCCCACTCACACCTGGTCTAACTCCGTTCTCAGCGGCGAATCCAGAGGGGGGGGGGGGGGGGCACGGAGCCATAGCCGCCCTTGGGCCCCGAAAGGGCCCATTGGCTGCGAGAAGGCCCGTAGCCGGCCGAACAGGTGCAGTTTTTTTAACACAAAACACCACAAATATCTCTGGATGTCCAGGCGACCAAGAACAGTTACAAGCGTAAGTAAAGAGCGTATAAGAAATTTTAAAAAATCACTGATTGGAAAAATTGCGAAGGAGAAATTTGAAGCCACGTTACACTGTCTAGGGGCCCATGCTGTTTCCGGTGAACCTATATGCCCCCTTGCAGAATCATTATGATCGTTAAGGAGCATTCCACGTTGACCTGCATTTCTTTGCATTTGTTCGGAGGGCCATGCGCTGTTGTTGGGGCCGTTCATGTTAGCTTGCCGGGGTGCTCTTGTCAATCATGGGCCCTTCCACAGATTCTTTCCATTCGCCAGAAAGGCTCTGTGAGCTATAGATGGGGTCAAATATCTTAACCTGCCGGGCATTCTCGGTTGCTTGGGGCCCCTTTACGGGGGTTTCGGTTAACTCGCCGACACACTTGCGGTATGCTCATAGGCCTCTGCATTATTCTAGGGCGTTTCCAATTCTCTGTCTCTTGCTTGGGGTCCTACACTCTTGTGGGGGGCCCACCTGATGGCCTACTTGGGCACACCCAGTCATTCGGGGACCCTCCACACTGGGTCTTGGGTACCTCTTTTCTGAAGGGGGCCCTACGCTCTCGTGGGGGCCTATCTGGTCACCTCTTCAGGCACATTCGATCGTTCGGGGGCCCTCTGCATTGGGCCTTGGGCGCGTGCTATTTTAATGGGGCCTTACACACTTGTCGGCGGTCACTTTGTTTGCCTCCTCGGCCACACTATATTGCTCGGGGCCCTGCGTATTGGTTCTTGTTGTTTGAATTTAGGGCTTTCTGCTCTCATCGGAGTCGTCTGATAACCTGTTCGAGTACACTCCATCTTTCGGGGGCCCTCCGTACCGGGTTTTGAATAATTCTTATTTGAATGGAGGGCATTACGCTCCTGTTGGCGCCCTTTCTTATAAGATGCTCGGCCCCATTCGAACGTGGGGGACCTCTACATCTGGTTTTCGGCACTTGCTTTTTGAGCGGATAACCCCGCTTTTTCGGCGGCCCTATCTGTTAACCTGCTCTGACCACGCGCTCTCGATTATTCGGAGCCCTCTACATTGCGTCCTGGGTACTTCCCTTTTGAATGGAAGGCCCTACGCACTTGTCGGGGAACCTATCTGTTTGCCGCTTCCGCCAGACTGTACTGTTCGGGGCCCTATATACTGGGTCTTGGTGTTTGAATTTAGGGCCCTACATTCCTGTCCAGGTCACCTGATAATCTGCTCGGGTATACTCCGTCTTTCGGGGCCTTCCGCACTGGGTTTTGAGTACTTTGTATTTGAGTGGATGGCCCTACGCTCTTGTTGGCCCCTTCTGATAAGCTGCTTGGGCACATCCCATCCTTCCGGGGGCATTTACATGGGGTCTTCAGTGCTTTCCATTTGAATGGAGACCCCTACGCTCTTGACGGGGCCCTATTGTTAACCTGCTCTGACGCGCTGGATCATTTGGGGTTCTCTGCATTGGGTCTTGAATGCTTCCTATTTGAATGGAGAGCCCTACGCTCTTCTTGGGAACCTGATCTGTTAACCCGCTCGGGCACATCCGATCATTCGGGGGCCCTCTACATTGGGTCTTGGTACTTCTTATTTCAATGGAGGCCCCCACACTCTTGACGTGTCCCTTTATGTTAATCTGCCCATGCGCGCTCGATTACTCGGAGCCCTACACCTTGCGTCTTTAGTGTTCCTTATTTGAATAGATGGCCCTGTGTGTTTGGCGGGCCCCATCTGTTCAGTTGCTTGGACCGGTGGCGGATGCAGAGGACCGGGGGGGAGGAGGAAAGGCACGGGACCATGCCGAGGGGAGCTAAAGGCTCCGAAGGGGCCCATAACCAGCCGGACAGACGCAGTTTCCTGACAACAAAAGCACAACAAAATTGGATTCCTTTAGCCCTACAGACGACCAAGAACCATTATAAGCAAAAGTAAAGAGCTCATAAGTAAACAAAGTTCATTCGTCACTGATTGAGAAGGTGTTGCTGGGGGCACTTGCCGGGTCAATCTGATCGCTAAGGAGCTTTACACATTGCCCTTAATCTCTGCATTATCTCGTAAGGCCCATTGTGCTGGTGGGGCGCTATCTGCCTCCATGCCTGAGCACTGTTGATCGATCAGGTTTTTCTCCACGGATTCTTCCCATTCGCCCGAAAGGTTCTTCACACTTTTTCCGGGGTCCCATATGCCAGGGTATAATCAGTTCCTCCGGGATCCCTCACATAAGTCTTGGGTTATTTCCACTTCCTTGGAGGGCCTTGTGTTGTTGCGAAGGCTCTTATAAGGTAGGGCACGGAGACACACGATGTTCAGAGGCCCTCTTCTTTGATCGAGGGCTCTCACTTTGGTCTCATTTGCGGAGAACTATTCACTCCTATCGATGCTCACGTTGTTAACCTACCCGTGCACTCTTGATCGCACAGGGGCATTAAGTTATGGTCTAGGGTAATTCCCCTTTGCTCGAGGGGTCCAGTGCTATGGCCGGGGCCTTACATGTCAGCCTGCCGGGGCACCACCGATCGTTTAGGGGCCCACCACGTTAGTCTTCGGTCCTTTCTTTCTTGCTCTGAGAGCCCCATTCTTGTTGACGGGAGCCCCTTTGTTGGCCTCCTGCGGCACCCATGATCGCTCAGGTTCCGTCCCTATTGGCCTTGGTACCTTCGCCTTAGAACAGCAGTCGAATATGCGCCGATGATTTTTTACGCGCAATTGTACGTAATTTTACATGCCGCCGACGTCGTATGTGTTATTTTCATTGGCTCTTGAGTGTGTGACGCTTATTATGCTAGTGCATCATGTTCGAAACATATTTCAAAATATGTTTCGAACTTGTATATGCTTTTGGATATGTTTGTTTAGGCTTTTCATTTTGTTTTGTTTTGCTGTTTGCTGGGATATGTTGTACTCCTTTATAACAAGAAAAAAATCATGTATTAGTTATCAGCCATCAGCTGATTACGTCGCCCAGCCGGCTAGCCGTAAATTCATTAGCTGGGAATCAAGTTCATGCTTGGTTTTGATGTTAATTGGCAGCCAACTCAAGTTTATTTTGCTTTTTGTTCCGCAACACTTAGCCTCAAAATCACAGCATTTAAATGATCTGTAGAAAATGAGTGGTCTCTATGTGTATGGATGCGTAGCACGCCTATGCTTTATAGGGCTGTGTACAGTAAGATGGATTTCCGTGTGTGTGAAATAAGTAAATGCATATATATATATATATATATATGTATATTGCATACCATTTGTCTTACAATACAATGACTGAAATGCAATGATATCCTTTTGCGGGGGGCCCTAAGCTTTAGGGGGCCTCACAATGTGGCGCGGCGCCCTCCTTGACGAAATCCTGGATCCGCCCTGTCCGTTCTAGCCGCAGTTTATCACCAAGCGAACGATGTGTGACGTCCGTGGTCCAGGGGCGGGGCATGAAGATGGATATATATATATATATATATATATATATATATATATATATATATATATATATATACGTATATACATGTAGTGGAATAAGACAGCCAGAGGCCTACGGTTTCACTTAGTGCTAAACATAATTTCAAATTACCAGGCATTCGTTATTTCACCTGGCATGTAGTGCCAACAAGTGCTTAGTAACTTGGGGTGCTAATATCCTAAACATTGGAAAGGCTCCACCCATTCAGCGAGGCGGGCTACTGCCGAAAAATATTTTAACGGTAATGTTTGCCCGGCTTGGCACTACTAACCTGATCAGGGGCAGCCAGTAGTCGTAAGGCCCTCGGAAACGTCGGACGTCTGCCAGAGAGTGTACAGGGGGAGGAGTCTGTTCCTCTAGCCTTGCGAAAGGGGCGCCGCCCGCCGCCGTCACGTGCGCCAGAAGCCAGCGAGTTTTTGCTGGGCGCGTGCGTGTACCCGCATGTGACACCAGAATGAAATACTAGTGCACTGTCACTGGAAACCAGATAAGCCAGAGGAAAGAGCACGCGAGGTATGTCAGCCGCGCGAGACGGCGAGGGTGTGAATTACGGCGAGCGCGACATCAGCGGCCGGTGTATGTTTGAGTGTGAGCCCGCCCAAGGCTATCATCGCCTAGCAGAGAGTCAGTCATCACTGGATCAAGGTGTTGCTTGTGTTGGCCGGTTCTTGCTTCATCTTTCCCCACAATGTTGTTAAGGAACGGTGCAAGAGAACCGCGGCGAATTCATAGCGCTGTGTAATTTTGAAGACTCGCGCCTTGGAGCGTGCCGCTGGGTGCCAATCTTCGAGACGCATGATCTCCAAACGACAGAGGAGATTGCAGAGGAGATTGAATGACTTCTTTATGAAAAAGCTACATTGACAGGCGTAAGCAATATGTGGTGTGACTGCCGTAATCTGGCGTCCGACGCGCGGGCGCTGCCTGCATGGGCGGCGCGCGGACGCGGCGCGGCCCGCGTGCATGGGACGCCCGTGGACACTGTTGCTTTGCAGTCTCGTGCCCATGTAGTCCACCGGCGTCCCGTGATGGCAAGGTTCATCATCGGATCATCATTAAGACTTACCGAGTTTTCCTAGATTAGCGGAAATATAATGACGTCAATGTCTCTCAGCTTACGCATCCAGTGACGTAAGAGTTCAGCAGAATCATTGTGTTGTACCGTGGTTCGAATATCCGTCCGCTGCTTGTACCGTGGTTCGAATATCCGTCCACTGCTTGTACCGTGGTTCGAATATCCGTCCACTGCTTGTACCGTGGTTCGAATATCCGTCCACTGCTTGTACCGTGGTTCGAATATCCGTCCACTGCTTTGGGCGAATTGGTGTTGTGCACACACTGATATGAATGTACGGGGCCCAACGTATCTTTACGGTCGGGGAATGGAATGGAATGGCCGCCAGGTGTCACATCAGAGGCATTGGTCCTGCTCAAACTTAACTGTTGATTGCAATGCGCTAAGTTGTGTCTCGTTACTACCTTACATTTTTTGCCAAGTGTTCGCTTTCCATGGCTGTCACATTTTAGTTGGCGTCGGTACCTGGTCATCAGCATCCCTTGCAGAACTCCAAAACACTAAACATGTGTGATTATGATTGTTGGCGTATTGAAGAGGCTTTAGATTTTCTTCGTTTCTGAAACATTACGTGGATGCTTGGCTATATAAACGGTCCTCTTAAACTGCGTATATCTTCCTTGTTGTTCAGAGCTGTCAGAATGGCCACCGAGAAATGCCTGCTGAGTTCAATGCGTAGATTAATATGCATTTAGTACTTCGAGACAGTCGTTAGCCCTTTGTTCCATTTTATTTGGTAGACGTCATTCCTATATTAAATGTGATTGGATACCATACAGCGACTTCTTAAGGCTTTTTAAGATTTGATCCGAACATTTTGAATGGATGGATTTCCGGGATCAGAGCTCACGCTAAGCAGTGCTTGTTGTGTGAGCCCTGACCCCTACCATCCGATCGCTCAATTCCATGTCAACGGCAAAGTTTGGTGGCGAAAGCTTAACGTGCCGCAATGCTCGGCACGGTCCGTCCTGCCCTCTGACGTCAACTGACCTTCAGCGCGACCGCTGCCACCGGCCGCAGGCCATACCTGTCAAGGGCAAATAGCGAGCGCCCTAAAGCGACTCGAATCCACCCCGCCACGGGTGGGCGCATCGGAAGACAGGCGATCTAACTGGCTGCGCCACCGGGACGGACATTCTGGCTTTGCAACCAGAATGGTTACCAAATGTTGTTTGTTGCTCAGATACTGACACCGCCACAAAAGAGTAACTTTAGTTCGTGTGTGATCTTTGTTTTGGCCGTTCAGCTAAATGTGATTTTGGCCTAGCTATGATTTGGGAGGGTAGCGGTCCAGACCCAAGCGCTCAACGGTCACACACTGTCTTCGCGACAGCTAATAATGTCGGCTGTGTTATGTCTCAAAGCCTATTGCTGTTGCCGATGTTAGGACACAGCGTCGCATCCTGTCACACAGCCGAATTGACCTCCCTGGCCCCCCAAGTTTCAGCGCCCCAGAGACGGCTCGTGTTTTAGAAATGGCCGACAAACAGGTCGAAAGGTCAGCTTCTAGGAGTCCAGTTGCGCCTGGCACAATCCAGAGGGCCTGCAGATGCCCAGACAGGCTTGTGAAATGAACTATTAGCACATTACGCCAGGAAGAAGCACGGGAGTTAGATGACTTTTTGGCTTCAAGTCAGGAGTTCAGGAGTTTGTCCGTCAACGTGAACAGGATGGTTGGCCTGGCATGGTCAGCGGGACCTCGGCTCCCATGCAGCCCATTGTGGGCTGGTATGGTCAGCGGGACCTCGGCTCCCATGCAGCCCATTGTGGGCTGGTATGGTCAGCGGGACCTCGGCTTCCATGCAGCCCGCTGTGGGCTGGTATGGTCAGCGGGACCTCGGCTCCCATGCAGTTCACTGTGGGCTGGCGTGATCAGCGAAACCTCGGCTCCCATGCAGCCCACTGTGGGCTGGCGTGATCAGCGAGACCTCGACTCCATGCAGCCCACTGTGGGCTGGTGTGATCAGCGAGACCTCGGCTCCCATGCAGCCCACTATGGGCTGGCGTGATCAGCGAGACCTCGGCTCCCATGCAGCCCACTATGGGCTCAGCCATAAGCCCACAGCCTGCAGCAACCAAAAGTGAACGGCACATCTGAGCGGGGGTGTATGTAGGATTTCTGAACGTGGAACTCAGCTTATAATTTCAGTTGAAAAGATTTGGACCGCCACAGGCTCGCGCAATTTCTTGTATTATATTGTATTGTATTCAATCTTCAACCCATCCATGCTGCGTGGCTTTCCAGGGTTAGCGTCATCATGCACAAAGTTTAAAACAGGTCAGGATAAAAATGACTCTACCAAGGATAAAATAGCTACAGTCATCGTGGAAACAAACCACAAGCGCATATACACATTCATAAGCAATGTATATTTTCATAATTAATTGATATAAAATATTTTTTACGTGGAAAAGATCATTTCATAGCTATATTTGTAGCGACTCAACATTTTCGCGATTTCCACGTTATTATGTGCGGACTTGGTGATACCCAGCATTTATTTGTCATACCCAACAATATATAAAGGATTATTTCAATTGTTATTGAGTTTTGAACTGAAATAACTACAATGAAGACATTTTAATGCAGCTCGCAACCATGCCGAGACATGCATGTAAGCATATACCACTGAGAGCCATCGCATAACCACTGGAATCTTCAAGTTTTTTTAACGCAGCATGCGACGCGCGTTCTGCTTTATATTGCAGTGCATAGCTGAATACCGCTTGCAATATTCTGAAATCCTGATTGCACACCGGTACGGGGCGTTCTGGTCGCTGTGCGCGGGTCGGCCCTGCGCCGCTGTGTTCGTCCCCTGCGCCGCTGTGTTCGTCCCCTGCGCCGCTGTGTTCGTCCCCAGCGCCGCCGTGTTCGTCCCCAGCGCCGCTGTGTTCGTCTCCAGCGCCGCCGTGTTCGTCCCTAGCGCCGCCGTGTTCGTCCCAGTGCCGCCGTGTTCGTCCCCAGAGCCGGCGTGTTCGTCCCCAGTGCCGCCGTGTTTGTCCCCAGCGCCGGCGTGTTCGTCCCCAGCGCCGCCGTGTTCGTCCCCAGCGCCGCCGTGTTCGTCCCCAGCGCCGCTGTGTTCGTCCCCAGCGCCGCCGTGTTCGTCCCCAGCGCCGGCGTGTTCGTCCCCAGTGCCGCCGTGTTCGTCCCCAGCGCCGCCGTGTTCGTACCCAGCGCCGGCGTGTTCGTCCCCAGCGCCGGCGCCCTCTGCACGACTGACGATCAGTGTGCCCTGTGCCGCAGATGGCCGATGCCGACCAGAACGTGCGCACCGACCCGGTGGGCGCTGAGTCGCCGGCATCAGCCGACACCCCGGAGCAGGCAGCCGCGCCGGTGAGTGCTGTTGGCGGAGCCACGACCCCCTGTCGACCGGTGCTGTCGGCGGAGCCACGGCCGCCTGTCGGCCGGTGCTGTCGGCGGAGCCACGGCCCCCTGTCGGCCGGTGCTGTCGGCGGAGCCACGGCCGCCTGTCGGCCGGTGCTGTCGGCGGAGCCACGGCCGCCTGTCGGCCGGCGCTGTCGGCCGGCGCTGTCGGCGGAGCCACGGCCCCCTATCGGCCGGTGCTGTCGGCGGAGCGACGACCGCCTGTCGGCCGGTGCTCAGTCGCCGGCACTGGTGGAGGGAAAGCCGCCTGTCAGGCAGTGCCCAGTCACCGCCACTGGTGGAGCGACGACCGCCTGTCAGCCGGTGCTCAGTCACCGGCACTGGTGGAGGGAATGCCGTCTGTCAGGCAGTGCCCAGTCACCGCCACTGGTGGAGGGAAAGCCGCCTGTCAGCCGGTGCTCAGTCACCGCCACTGGTGGAGGGAATGCCGCCTGTCAGCCGGTGCTCAGTCACCGGCACTGGTGGCGAGAAGGCCGCCTGTCAGCCGGTGCTCAGTCACCGCCACTGGTGGAGGGAAGGCCGCCTGTCAGCCGGTGCTCAGTCACCGGCACTGGTGAAGGGAAGGCCGCCTGTCAGCCGGTGCTCAGTCACCGCCACTGGTGGAGGGACGGCCGCCTGTCAGCCGGTGCTCAGTCACGGCCACTGGTGCTGCCATGGATAGATATGCTATCATGAACAGCCTAGTAGCAGTGGCAGACACAACAGCAGTTACACCATCGGTTTATAATGCCGAAGTAATGGAAGACGCAAACCTGTCATGCTTGGAATATCATTGGCTGTGCAATTAAGGACTTCATGCACCAATCTGGTGTGATTAAAATAATGACTGCATACCTTTTTGAAGTCAGTTATTTCCTTGCATCCCCATAACAAGGCTTGGCTGGGTAATGCTCATGGGACCCGATACTGTGTAATTTCTGCATCATCATTTGTTGCCATTCCCAGAGACCCTGATAAGGAATTCGAGGAAATGCCAACATTACCTACATTTTGAGGCTTGGGGAGAGTTAAGTAAAACACATAAGGCCAAATGCGCAGACTTCTTTGGCTACGATGCTCTGCTGTACATCCTCACCCGCCCTCGCACCCAGCTTTGCAGCATCTCCTCAGTCTTTGGTCGGAGATATGCCCATCCTAAATATACGCGATCCACTATCATTAACATGTCGAAGTAAACAATAAGACAGTGGAAAAGATGCTCGCAGGCATGAAGCAATCAGTAGGTTAAAACTGGGAGCAGGGTTTTTAAAATCGGCGCATTTGCCCGTGTAATTTTAATACAGATCACCGTCCACCTACTCGGCTCCGCTGGCTACGTCCCTGACTGAAAATTATCCGCCCGCTTACAGCAATCACATTGCAAATACACGAAATGCAATTAAAAATGACGGACTATGCTCACCAGAATGCACGTGATTTGGAAAATGCAATCAAGTCTCTCTCCCTCCCCTCCTCTCTCTCTCTCTCTCCGTCCTCCCTCCTCTCTCCTCTCCTCATCTTCTCGTCTCTCTCATCCTCCTTCTCCTCTCCCTCTCTCTCTCTCTCCTCATCTCTCTCAGCTCCTCCTCTCTCTCGATTCATCCTCTCCTCGCTCTCTCTCTCTCTCTCTCTCTCTCTAGCTCTCTAGCTCTCTAGCTCTCTAGCTCTCTAGCTCTCTAGCTCTCTAGCTCTCTAGCTCTCTAGCTCTCTAGCTCTCTAGCTCTCTAGCTCTCTAGCTCTCTAGCTCTCTAGCTCTCTAGCTCTCTAGCTCTCTCGCTCTCTCGCTGCTCATCGCTCTCTTCGCTCTCTCGCTCTCTAGCTCTCGATCTCTCTACTCTCTAGCTTCTATAGCTCTCTAGCTCTCTAGCTCTCTAGTCTCCTCTATGCTCTCTAAGCTCTCTCCTAGCTCTCCCTAGCTCACTTCCGTAGCTCTCATACCGCTCTCCTAGCTCTCTCTGCTCTCTAGCTCTATCTCTCTCTCTCTAGCTCTCTCTCTCTCTAGCTCTCTCTATCTCTCTCTCTCTCTCCTCTCTCTCTCTCTCTCTCTGCTCTCTCTCTCTCTCTCTCTCTCTCTCTCTAGCTCTCTCTCTAGCTCTCTCTCTCTCTCTAGCTCTCTCTCTCTCTAGCTCTCTCTCTCTCTTTAGCTCTCTTCTCTCTCTCTTTATCTCTCTCTCTCTCTCCTCTCTCTCTCTCTAGCTCTCTCTCTCTCTCTAGCTCTCTCTCTCTCTCTAGCTCTCCCTCTCTCTTCTCACTCTCCTCTGGTTATCCTCTTCTCTGCTGCCACATACTGCAGTGGTCCGTTACGCTCTATGCCTTCACGCCGCTTTAAACTCTACTTCTGTTGTCAATGCTCATGTAGACCTGGATATGTATCGCCCAATTTTTCCTCATCATGACTTCTAAGCCGACTGCAGGTGAGGTGGAGCAATGGCGTCGAGTAACGTAACATAATGCAAGAAAATGATAAGAGGCTCACTCAGTCAGCAAGCGCATCATCGCCTGCGCCTAACTGTTGTTTGCAAGCAGTCATATAGTCCGTCGGGCTTCTTATTGGCTCCTTCATGACTGCGGTCGCAGCCAAAGTTTTGTTAATAACGGCGCACGGCATTGGGCGAAAGACCTGCTTTCAAAAATCTGCCCCCCCCAAAAAAAAGTTTGTCGTATCCGACTCGCTTTACCTCGAGGAGCCAATTTTCTTGCTTTTGTTTTTTTGGTTTCTAGAACTCGACCATAAGTTAGAAGTTATGAGAAGATGCCATTCTGCCAATTTTTAGGAGTTAGTGAAGCGAATAAACCACGAATGATGTGAACGGCGAATATACCGTAAGCACTACTCACTTTACATTGGCTCATTCCGCCTCTTTTAAACCAGCAACAATCGGGCACTGCCGGCTTTTGGCGGCTTTTGCATAGACATTGGGAGGCCAGTGGATGAAACGGACGTATAATACCCGTATGTTTTCCCTAACAATGGTGATTTCGATTCGCTGATGCTATTTTTAAAACGATGGAAGTCTTCAGGAAAACATGTTTTGGGCACGTTGATGCAAGTTTTGGCCCCTTCGTCCATGCCACCTTTTTGGACATTAAAAAGACTCCTTACCTTTTGCTGGACAGGGAGCCACATGGGTACTATGGAGCTCATCATCTTTCTCAGTTAGGGGCTGAAGGTTTATTCCGTCCCAGCGCGGGGTCCACATCGGGTGCCATTCTGGCGAAACTGGGGCTGGGACCCGCTGGTCGATCCGGACACCCATACACCACACACCGGTCCCCTCTCCCGGATACAGAAGGCCCCTGACCGTGGCATTTGGCCCCGAAATGACGCAGGGGCACTCACTAACGCAAAATTACCCTTTACTGGAGCAGGGGTTCAATGATCGGCACAAGACCAAATTCCGGCTTATCAGGCCCCAAGTCGAAACAAGGCGGAGGGTTCCAGTTCCGCCCTGAGGCCCCTGACTGAGACTTGAGGCCTTCCATTGTGTCATAATGCAACTTTTCATTGCCATTTATCATGTCTTCTCTCATTGTCAGGGGGCCCCGACCAATGCAAGAGGCCCTCTCGCATTCAGGGTCTTGTCCCTAACTTTTTCAGCATTTGTAACCAACCATAGCGCAACCGATTCCTTGACCGATTCGGGGCCCCTTATGACACAGGATTACTTGTTACACACTGTGGGCTCTTGACCCACATGGACCCGTCATTGTTCCAGGGACCCCGACAAATCCAAGTGGTCATCGGTGACACCCGTGGGCCAAGACCTGGCCCCTATTTGGAAAATGGGTCCTAAGGGCTCATACCGACACGGAGCCGGCCGCTCGGCGTTCTAGCCTCGGACCAACATAAAGATGTCAATCCCAGGGGGGCGGCGATCGCTGCAAGAGGCCCTCTGACGGACATTTGAGGCCCCGGCCATAAGGGCTGTGGTCCTTTGATGCGACCTTCGGCCAGCTCTACAGGCTGGGCCTACTGGGCCCTTGATTTTCGGTCCCGAAGAGCCTTTGGGATCCCTCGGGACCCAGTGGGACAGGGCGTGTACCCCGTGTTCCTTCCTCTGCCTGTGCGCCTGGTCCTGACAACGCAGCGTGGAACTGCGGCAGGGAATATTCATCCAATGCGTGGTAACTGCAATGTGTGCTAAATAAGTGTCCTCCGACTCCGCTGTTGGGCCGTGCTGAGCTGACGTGTGATGCGTGGCGCACCGCCACCAGCCAATCAGCCGTGACCAGCGGCCGCCGCGCCGGCGCTGGCGTCCGGTGAGCTGTTGCCGGGGCCCGGGTGATGCCGTCGCCCCCGTCACAGCCCGCACGTCCCGGCGCCAGCGCCTTGCCGCCGCGGGCCGCGTCCCTGACACGTGCCCGCCACCTGCTCCGTTCGCCGCCTGCCAAACAGCGGAGAGACTGCCGTCGCGGTGCAGCTGGTCAGCCCTTTATCCGAGGTGGTCCCAATCGGGTCACGGGCGGCCCGGCCCCTCGGTCGGCTGAGGGCGGCGCGGCACGTGCCCCGCCGGCAGCTGCTGCCCGGTCCGATCAGCTTTCAGCGTGGCGCCCCACCGGATCTGATGCGGGGGAGAGAGCAGAGGGGCGGGGGGGGGGGAAGGACGCAGACAGCAGCTGACGCCGCTGCCTTGCGGCACAGTGTCGGCAGGGGAGCGTGATGGGCAGCCTCATGATGCGGCGTGCCCCCAAATGCTCAAAAACATAGGCAAGGTACAGCGAGCGGTCATGTGGCGTGGCGTATGCGCGCGACGCCACTTACTCATCCTCCCATCCAATTCTCTCAAGGTTTTTGACCGAGTTAGTCCGTCCGAGCGCGACGGAATTTGGGAAGATGTCGGTCGGAGCGCGGCGGAAGTTGGGAAGATGTCGGCCGGAGCGCGGCGGAAGTTGGGAAGATGTCGGTCGGAGCGCGGCGGAAGTTGGGAAGATGTCGGTCGGAGCGCGGCGGAAGTTGGGAAGATGTCGGCCGGAGCGCGGCGGAAGTTGGGAAGATGTCGGTCGGAGCGCGGCGGAAGTTGGGAAGATGTCGGTCGGAGCGCGGCGGAAGTTGGGAAGATGTCGGTCGGAGCGCGGCGGAAGTTGGGAAGATGTCGGCCGGAGCGCGGCGGAAGTTGGGAAGATGTCGGTCGGAGCGCGGCGTGACTTACGACGCGCCCCGGGCGCACTCGCGTGTTTCTCGCAGCCGATCAACCGAGGGCACCGCTAAACCGATCATAAAACGAAACATAAAAATCGCTGCACGCATTCGAGTAGACTAAACGGTCGGGACAAAGGGCAGCAAGCGAGTGGATGTGGTGACCCCGGCCGGTGGATTGTGACCCCTGCCGATAGGCTGCAGCCGCTGGCGCTTTCGTGCATACCTCGAAATCCTACGGGGAGAAGGGGAGACGATCAAATTCTTAGTGCGCTTCTTTCCGCTGGATGTCCTCAGGTATATTCTTGAAATTAACTGTCCTAGAAAATCTGGTCGAATTTTGGCCCACTTCTGGTCACAACCCAAAACAAAGGTTCCCCTTTCGCCCATCACCCCTCTCTCTACCCTCTCTCCTTCACCCTCCCCTCTGGTCCTTTCTTCTCTTCTCCTCCCTCCCCATTCCGCAGAGTGGAGTTCGCGGACCAGCCGTGCCGGGCGTTGTGACCCGGGCCGAATCGCCGGTCGGTGCACCGCTGGGGTCAACCGGGTCGGCCGCCGCTGCCGCCGCCACCGCCGCCGCCGCGGTCCGAGCCGCCGGCGTCGCTGGCCGCACCCGCTAATCGCCAGGAATACCGCCGCACCGCTCCCGTCTGCAGCGCGCCGTTAATGTCTGCTCGATGTCCGCGGGCCCAGCGCTGACGTGCCGCCGCCGGCAGTGCTTATGGAGTGGGTCGCGCTGGGAAATTAGCGCGGTTCAGTCGTTTGTTAGGCGACGCCAGCCCTGGATTCCAATGGTCAGTCAAAGTTCGTCTTCGACGAGATTCGAAGAGCTAGCACAACTCAGGGAGCTGCTTGTAGATGACAACGTAGCAGTTGTTGGTCTGTTAATCTGTTGAGCTGACAGCGGACGGACTTTCAATCCACATCAATAATTCTGCGGCCTTACAATATGTGTTGCACTACCACGTTTGGCCGAAGTCATCCTTGGATTTGCTTGACGCTCATCGCACAAGAAAAAGGCAGCCAACCTACACTTGAGTTTACTTGTTGCTATCATAGACTTGTAGCCTGCTAAGATCAGGGTTCGGAGAAGGGCTGTGGAGGCGAAGATGTGTTCAGTAGGCTGGGCTCACGACTGTGAAGGGGCCGCGCCACGGGCTAGCGGCGGGGGCTGGAGCCAACGGCAGAAGGCGACAGCAGCCGTCACACACCGCAGCCCAACTGCGACGCCGGCCCAGCTGCCGGCCGGGCCTGACGCCTGCCGACCGCGGCCGGCTCTCCAGAGCGGTGCGGTCGGCCGACGCGCGTGCACCTCCCCTGCGCTGCGCTGCCCGACGCTGCCCGGTGCTGCCGGGCCGGGGGCGTCCGAGGCCGCCACCGGCGCCCGCCGCCGCAGGTCTGTCCGCCGCCGCCGCCGCCGCCGCCGCCGGTGCAACACGGCACCGGATGTCGCCGTCCCCCCCCCCCCCCCTGCTGGCGACTAGTGGTGCCCTCGTGGCGACGACGCGGCCGGGCGCTCGTGACTCGCCGGTTGGAGATAGTGCGGAGTGTCAGGCACCGATCCGACCGCAGCTTGGTGTCGTGCTGCGCCCCGTGGCTGGCTCGGGTGTCTTTGTGGCCCGGCCCGGCCGGCCGGGCTACAGACGTGACTGTGGCATGGTGCAGGCCAACTACAAGGCATAAATTTGAGCCTACAGCCCGTCAGGTCGAACAAATGATGCGCGGCACTGCTGCTGCTCATTGGCGTGCCCCTTAAGGCTGAGTGTTATTAAATCGCGGGCTGTTTGGTGGAGAGAGATCGTTATTCCCACATGGAGGTTTGCAGCAACCGTTGGGCATGCAGGAGACTAGGAGAACGTGTTATTCGGAAAAACCAATGTTGTTGTTGGATCATACTTACTGCGTCTATGCTCGAGACACACTTAAAGGTAAAGGAAATGATCTGTTGACGTTATGAATGGTCGCGTGACCTGCAGTTCCTTTGCCTCAAGCATATAACATCAGCAGCCAAGAGCGTCGTAAAACCCCCTTTACTCTCAGTTTGATGTTCCCTATATCAACGCTTGGAGCAAAGCGTCTGACGCAAATGCCAGTTGGAATGCTGATGCCGATATGTTGGGCTGCTCTTTCATCTTAGGTTTGGTTGACATTGGTTAAATTTTGGACCCTGTTTGTTCGGCAAAAACAAACGCCTAGAACTTGAAAATGATTCATGTCCTGTGCCCACCACATTCACTGTTAGACACTTGTGACTGGAGCAAATCATCCCCGCCCACACACCACTGAATCAGGTGGCTGTGTTCAGAAGGCAGGTCATGAGTTCAGCAGGCAGGTCTGGAGTTCGCGAGGCGGGTCTCGAGTTCAGGAGGCAGATCATGAGTTCAAGAGACAGTTCCCGAGTTCAGGAGGCAGGCCACTGCTTTGCTGGCCATACCGTCAGGTGGCGGCAGTGTTGCACGTCACACTGACGCGCCGGGAATGCCGACATGATGTACGAGGTCGTTTCGGTGGAGGCGGCCCATACCACGCTAATGAGGAGAGCCGACCGAGCGGCCGCACCGGCGCACGCTCAGCCCATCAGGTGTACGGCCGCACGTCCAGCTGGCGGCTGGCGGTGACCCGGGTCACGGCCGCGGGACACGCACCTACTGCGGACGCCCATCAGGATGCAGCAGCCAGGCGCCGACTTGCATCACGCGAAGGCGAGACTGGCTTGCTGGTACGATGCGAGATATTACCATAGCGATGGCATCAGCGGACTATGTCTTCCACCTCGTCCGCGGCACTATAGATTGTTCCCTGGAAAATTATACGCTGATATGCTGTTCTCAGCATTTTGTCAGAGTCATGCCAATCCGCCTCTAGCGGTAAAAATCTGAGCTAAATATCAGGATTTACGTGTGACATCTGTTTGTAGTTTGCATCGGATGTCGGATGGTATTACTTGACGTAACTGGACGGCCCATCGCAGCACATTGTAAGCGGCCCGGTGCTGAGCAGTGGTCAGCCATCGGGGGTGGTGCGGGCCGTAACAACCGCCGCTCTGGAGGCCTCTGGTGCTGCCGTGCTCTGGTGCTGCGGTGCCCTGGTGCTACGGTACTATGACTGGGCTGGTCCGTCTGAGCGACACGGGCTGACTCTGCCGCCCTGCCGTGCTCTGGTGCTACCGTGCTCTGGTGTTGCGGTGCTCTGGCTGGGCTGCGGTGCTCTGGCTAGGCTGGTCCGTCTGAGCAACATGGGCTGACTCTGCCGGGCCACGGTGCCGTGCTGCGCCAGTAGTGTTGGTGGCGGTCGGTGGGTCGGGACGACACGGACCGGGTCTGCCGCACTCGTGCCGCCGCCGGTGCTCGTCCTGAACGCTGGGAGCGGGTCGTGTTGGGCCCGGGCTGCAGAGCCGGGCCAGTTACCGTCCCAGCAAATAAGCCGACTCCGCAGGGCACCCTCCGTGCTCCCAGGTGTCCCAGCTCAGCGCCGTAAAACCAGCGGCAAATCAGCGACTGAGAGTCGTGCTTTCGAGGCGGATGGGAGTACCGTGTGCCGCGTGTGGGGTGCCGCATGTGCAGGCCGTGGGTCAGTCTCCTGTTAAGTGGTCTCTGGTGTTTTAAAATCGTTTCTGAGCTGCTAGCACTTGGGGAATATTATGGATCTGATCGCGCCAGCACGATTTCCCCGTCTCATGCATGGTGCTGGTAACATCTGCACAGCGCGAGGGCCATGTTAGCAGTGTGGGCTGCCATTGTTATTAGTGACAGCCTGGTCTGTTGCAGATTGTCGCCGTTTGCCCGGTGGTGCTGCCAGTGCAGAGCCCTCGACAGACGGTCTGGTCCGTTGCAAGGTGTGGCCGTTCTTCCGGCCATGTTTTAGTGCAGGGCGCCGATGTGACGGCCGGGTGTGTTGCAGGCTGTGTTTGCACCGGCGGCGGCCGGCGCTGTGTCCGGCTCCCGCCCCTCCGCCAGCCCCGCCGTCCGGCGTCTGGCCGATCGGCTGGCCGCCATGTTCGCACCGACCAGGAAAAAAGTGGTGGTGAGTAGGATTTGTGAGCTCTGGCTTGAGCTGGCTGGTTTTTCGCAGCTTTCTGGTGCTACCGGGTCGTGTCGTGCTGTCTGTATTCGTGTTTACTGATTCGACTTTTATGTTGTCAGCTGCGTGAATTGTAATACGCTTATCATCAAAGGGAACTTGGGAGTAAGTCTCCCCAGCTTCCGCGGAATTCAACATGGTTTGGCGTCGCATGCAGCGAAGCTCCATAACCGTCGCCGGCAGACGGTAGTGCGCGCTGACCGGGCGTTGGCTCGTAAGCGCGGTGCCGATTTCATGCTCTCGTCCCATGCACAGATTCAAAATATGATGATCCCTTTTATAATCTACCGTTTTTACCAAGCCAATTTGCAGCACCTCTTAAGTCGACATGTCAGTTTGGTTCTTACGAGGTCAAACCGCTTTTTGCCGTCTGCACAAGGCCGCATATTTGTCTGCAGAGTAAAACTGACCGGAGTAAAAACACGCTTCTGTCCACCTCCATGGGATAATGCGAGATCGACCACGCCGGCTTACACCCTGAGACCGCCAAACAGGAAGGTCGGATGCACGCGGAGCCTGGGAACGCGTTGTGTGTCGCCGATTAGGCACAATTCTCACCTTATAGTGTTTCGAGAGCGAGGTTAAACTCGAAAGTGCCTAGCCAAGCATAATTTTTCCCCAAATTAGATAATGCTGCGCTGCGCAGTGCAGTTCACGAAACAGCTCCGCGAAGTCATGCAGTTCAGGAGATGGCTCTGCGAAGCAGTGCAGTTCAGGATATAGCTCCGCTGAACGGCTGAGCGCCGCTCTCCGTCGCTCCGCGCTCCGGCCGTCGGTGCCCCCCCCCCCCCCCCCCGACATCCTCCGCCGGCGAGCCCGCGCCCGATGCCGCAGCGCCCTGACTGTCCTCCTGTGCCGACAGGAGCGGCAGCCCGCGCCCGATGCCGCAGCGCCTTGACTGTCCTCCTGTGCCGACAGGAGCGGCAGCACACGGTGGAGACGACGAGTGAGTCTCAGCGCATGGTGGCGCTGGTCGGAGCGCCGCAGCCGGCGCGGACCGGCGAGGCGGACCCCGAGCGCGCCGGCGACGCGTCCAGCCGGCCCCTCTGCAGACTCTCCAAGACGAAGATCATCATAGGTGAGGCGGGGCGGCGACGCGCGCACAGCAGGCAAGCGTGTGCTGTGTAACACGTCAACACGTGTCGTATTCGTGCTGGTGCGGATACGAGCATTGTCTACCTGGTATCACCATATCGATATAGGTCGTTTAGAACTGTTGAGATAAATCATTACGTATACACAGGGAATGCTCCTGCGGCTGCGCGCCTGGTAACGAGTTCCCGTTACAGCTCTGGTGGCGTTGGTTACGTTCCTCGTGATCGTGGTCGCCTCGGTGGCGCGCCACGTGACGGTGGAAAGCAATCGACCCCGCTTCCTCTGGGACGCCACGGCCAGCATCGTCGATGGCGAGCACGTGGAGACGATGGCCTCCTGCGGTCGGGTCCGAGGGTGAGCAGACGGTCGGGTCCGAGGGTGAGCAGACGGCCGGGTCTGAGGGTGAGCAGACGGCCGGGTCCGAGGGTGAGCAGACGGTCGGGTCCGAGGGTGAGCAGACGGTCGGGTCCGCGGGTGAGCAGACGGCCGGTCTGAGGGTGAGCAGACGGCCGGGTCCGAGGGTGAGCAGACGGTCGGGTCCGAGGGTGAGCAGACGGCCGGGTCTGAGGGTGAGCAGACGGCCGGGTCCGAGGGTGAGCAGACGGCCGGGTCCGAGGGTGAGCAGACGGTCGGGTCCGAGGGTGAGCAGACGGTCGGGTCCGAGGGTGAGCAGACGGTCGGGTCCGGGGGTGAGCAGACGGTCGGGTCCGAGGGTGAACAGACGGCCGGGTCTGAGGGTGAGCAGACGGTCGGGTCCGAGGGTGAGCAGACGGCCGGGTCCGAGGGTGAGCAGACGGTCGGGTCCGAGGGTGAGCAGACGGTCGGGTCCGAGGGTGAGCAGACGGTCGGGTCCGAGGGTGAGCAGACGGCCGGGTCCGAGGGTGAGCAGACGGTCGGGTCTGAGGGTGAGCAGACGGCCGGGTCCGCGGGTGAGCAGACGGCCGGGTCCGAGGGTGAGCAGACGGCCGGGTCCGAGGGTGAGCAGACGGCCGGGTCCGAGGGTGGGCAGACGGCCGGGTCCGCGGGTGAGCAGACGGCCGGGTCCGAGGGTGAGCAGACGGTCGGGTCCGAGGGTGAGCAGACAGCCGGGTCCGAGGGTGAGCAGACGGCCGGGTCCGAGGGTGAGCAGACGGCCGGGTCTGAGGGTGAGCAGACGGTCGGGTCCGAGGGTGAGCAGACGGCCGGGTCCGAGGGTGAGCAGACGGCCGGGTCCGCGGGTGAGCAGACGGCCGGGTCCGAGGGTGAGCAGACGGCCGGGTCTGAGGGTGAGCAGACGGCCGGGTCCGAGGGTGAGCAGACGGTCGGGTCCGAGGGTGAGCAGACGGCCGGGTCCGAGGGTGAGCAGACGGTCGGCCGGGGCGAGTGGCCGCTGTGCGGCCAACGGCGGCCGCCTACTTGCCCAGTGCCTGGCGTTCAGGCTTGAGAGGTGTCCTGATGAGGTTTGGTGCACTTGAGTAACCCCCTGATGCTGACGTTTGATGCGCATTTGTAGGTTTCTCCTGGCCGTCCACAGTTGTCTGTTGTCAGGCACGTTGTCCTGAATAGTCAGGACACAATTATATGTAACTCTGTTCTGACGCAATTATATGCTATCTCTAAAGCAGCCCTCATATGCCATAGTTTCGTTGCACTGTTGCATGCTTGTTGTCTTGGCACTGCGTTTCATTCTTTTTTCTCGCCGACGTAGTACTAGATTTCGCCATTTGGCACGATATCCCAACATTGCAGTAATTGTAGTTGTTGTTCTGACATTGAAATCCTCCATTTGCCTTGCTATCCCGGCATTGCGGTCATTGTTTTACGCCATCACGACATTGGAATGCCTGATAGATGTACCTCCTGTTGTTGAAGTCATCCACCTGGCCTCTAGGCACGTTATTAAATGCCCGATTTGACTCACTGTCTCGGCTTTGGAGTCATTCTTTTGACTGGTTCTCCGGCGTCGAAATCTTGTCTGCGTCACCGTTGCGGCACGGACGTCCCGATCTGACCTCCTCTCCCTCCACCTCCCCTCAGCCGGGTGGAGGAGGAGGCGTTCGTGTTCCGCGGCGTGCCGTACGCACTGCCGCCGCTGGGCCGGCGCCGCTTCCAGCTGGCCGAGCCGCCGCGCGCGCTCTCCAGCTGCTGGAGCGGCGTGCTGGCAGCCGACGGGCCGGCCGGCGCGTGTCCGCACCTGGCCTCCGACGGCTCGCCGGCCGGCGGCCCGGAGGACTGCCTCACCGTCGACATCTTCACGCCACGCGTCAGCTTCGACGCGCCGCTACCGGTGGTGGTGTACGTCGGCGGCGACACGCTCAGCAGCCAGACGCCGGACACGCTGCAGCCATCGGCGCGGCTGGCGCGCCAGCAGGGCGTGGTGTTCGTGCTGGTGCGCGTGCGCCGCGGCGTGCTCGGCTTCCTGGCGTCGGACGTGCTGTCGCGCTCCTCGCACCCGCACGCCTCGGGCAACTACGGCCTCTCCGACCTGGTGACGGCGCTCGAGTGGCTCAACCTGAACGCCGAGCACTTCGGTGGCTCGCCGGCGCTGGTGACGCTGCTCGGGCACCAGTCGGGCGCCACGCTGATGACGCTGCTCACCACCATGTCGCGCACCAAGTCGCTCTACACGAACATGTGGCTGACGGGCGGCTCCGGCTACCTCGACAACTTCACCATGCCCGACTTGGCCATGGCATCGGAAAACAACGCCCAGTTCCTGTCGTACGTTGGCTGCGAAGATGCGCGCTGTCTGCGCAACAAGACGGTGCAGGAGCTACTGACGGCCGTTCCCAGGGTGTGGCACCGCATCCCCACGGGTGAGGGCGACACCTGGCGGAGGAATTCATGGGCTGGGTAAAACCATGGGTACCATATGGAATACGTGACGGGGTAGGTTGGGCACAGATTGTGGGAAATTACAGGTATGGTTAAGACGTTTATGATGTATCTAGCAGATACTTAAGAAAATTGTACGAAATGTGACTGCTTGCGTTTTTTTTTTTGCCACAATTAGCTCGTCACTCTACTGTTGCAGTTCACATTGCAAGCAGATTACTTTGTGCTTACACTTTCTCCGAAAACTCTTCCATAGTTTGAAATCAAATGACTGGATATATGTGAACGAGTGGGCGCAAGTGGCTAGAAACGGGTGGCGGATGGGTGTGGGCAAAGCTCCTTGGAGAGCGAGAGTGTTGTGTAAAGGAAATCTTACCGTGGTGTCTGCTACCAAGTGAACCGGCAGGGACTCCTAAGCCGCCTTGCCGGGGTTCTGGCGAATGCTATCTTGTAATGGCCTTGCCCGGGTTCTGGCGAATCGTCTCCCAGGCGGGTGCGAATAATAAGACTCTTTTGTGCCAATATCTTATGCGCTTGTGTTGCGCCTGCCGCACTCCGTAGCGGTAGATTTATTGTTGAAAATGTCATGCTAGTGCAGCCGGACCGCTGCCCGCCAGCCGGTGGCCGGTGGACCGTTGCCCGCCAGCCGATGGCCAGTGGTGCTGAATATGCTTCGCACGGCTTGGACATTCCTGCCTTGCTGCTGCACGTTTTTTCAAAGAGATCGCGTGATACCTAGAGGCCCGAAAAGCGCGACGGCATTCACACAGCTTTAATGTTCTGTATGCTATTCACCCTCGTGCTTCATTTACCGCCACCTATAATGAGCAACTTGCTTCACTGTATTGGTTTCGGCGATGCGTTGAAGTCCACTCCTCAAATATGTGAGTCGATCGTTCCCCGCACGCTGCCCGCGCTCGTGACCGGAGTGAGTCGATCGTTCCCCCCACGCTGCCCGCGCTCGGGACCGGAGTCGATCGTTCCCCGCACGCTGCCCGCTCGTGACCGGAGAGCTAACAGAGCCGGCCGCGCCGCACCAGGTCTGCCGCGTCTGAACGAGCCGCGCCACAACTGGCTGGTGCGCGACGGCTACCTGGTGCGCGAGAGCGTGACGGACGCCTGGGCCGAGTCGCAGCGGCGTCGGCCTGCGCTGCCCGATCCCCTGATCGTCATCGGCGCCAACGCGCAGCAGGACGGCGCTGACGACCTTTTCGCCGTGCGCGACTGGAACGTCAGCTCGGTGGCCGAGTCTTACGTGGCCACCACGCTCGGCACCTTCCCCGGAGGGCTGGTGAGCTAGGTGGCCGGAGCGGTGTGAACAGACTGCGAGACGCTCGGGCGAGCCAGTCTGGGCACACGTCTGTCATCCCCGGGAGTTTCCTGTCTTCAAACCCTGACCTGGAATACTGTCATAAGTACATTCCTGGCGGGAACGGTTGTAAAAATGAAATGACGCTTAGCTTGCAGATCAATAATTTGGATGGTCTGTGTTGTACCAAGTGCATATGCAGTATGATTTGTACATGCAAAGCATATACGGGCATGTCATGCTGTGGTCAGACCTCCCTGATAGAGCGCCGTGCCCTGGCGTCAGGGTGTCAGGGGTCAGGGCGTCACGTGTCCGGCGTGGTCCGGGCGTCAGGGGTCAGGGCGTCAGGGCTTCAGGTGTCCGGCGCGGTCCTGGTGTCGGCCGCGTCCTGACGCGACCTTTGTCGGCAGCGGAGCCGCGCCACGGCCCTTTACCTGCGGCCGGGCACCGACCCCTGGAGCCAGATCGCCACTATGGTCAGCGACGTCAGGACCGTGTGTCCTCTGCTGGCGGCCGCGCGCCAGGCCTCCAGCCACTTCACCAACCGCGTCTACTTCTATCTGGCGGCCCAGAAACGGCTCGGTATGGTGGCACGCCGGGGTCGGGTTGGGCGGCGGACCGCCGGACTGAGTGCTCGTGTCCCTGGGTGCTCATCGCTGATTGCTTGTGTGAGTGGTATAAATGGAGATCCCAAAATCCCATCGAAAGACCGCATAGAAATCAAGACGGCTCCATATCACGAATCCTTGACGTGGAAGATGACTATGTTGGCTGTGATCATTTAATCACATGGATGACGCACTATCTGACCGAGGGCTCATTGGTGTCACGCACTTCATTCTGAGTTGTTCTAAAAGCCAGACTTCCTGATGCGGAATGGGATGACGCTTGGCGTTATCCCATGACGCTTTTATTGTGCGCTGTCTTACTCAAAATAACTTGTCTAGCATCCTTATATGGCGATTCTTGTCTTTCCTTCCGTGGTGGCCGAAACGTCTGATGTATGCTCACGGCACACCGGTAGCTACATGCGTGTTGGGTGCGCCTGAAGTACACACCCGATCACGTGACAGGTCCGGCGTCCTAGCGGCTGTCCCTGACCGTAAGTCTCATGTGTCCACATGCCAGCACCTGCCCCCGAGCCTGCCGTTGAGACTCAACACGGCCATGACCCCACCCCTGACCCTTCCCCCCCCCCCCTGTGACGTCGCCGGCAGGCAGCACGGGCTACATTGCCGACAGCAGGTCCGACATCGAGGCCATCTTGGGCGTGTACCGGCCGGCCACGGCAGAGCAGCGCCGCTTCGTCGACAACATGCAGAGCATGTTCTACCGGTTCGTGCGCGAGGGCCGGCTACCGCTGGACGCCACGGCCGGCAGCAAGATGTACGTCGTCGACGACGGCATCGGCACGGTGGATGGCCACCCGAGCTGCCGGCTGTGGGACCAGAGCGGGTTGTACCCGCAGTACGCGCGTCGCGACTGAGCCGCCGCTCGGGTCGGCAGGCACGACCGCTCGCTGGCTGTGTGTGCGCGTGTGGTGCGGCGTGCGGACGGACTCGGTGGCTAGCCGTCGCGCCGGCCGCGGGCGCGACGGCGGTCGGCCGCCGGGGACGGCAGCGGTGGGCCCGCCGCACACTGGAGACTGGCAAGCGAATCGTTCTATGAGTATCTTCTTCCTTGCGCATATATCCTTGAATACTTGGATGTTGTGGCAAATTAGTCATTGCTACAATACTGCAAATGGTATTATACGAGGCTCGGGTCAGCCACGCCTGCTCGTTAACATAGGATGCGGAAGGCCGACCGATGGCAGCAGGAGCTAGACGCCACCTGCCAGACTTCACCGCCGTCCTACGCCCGTTGCTTATTCGTCCGCCAGACTGCACCTGGCGGTCCGCCTGACCGACTGCAGTGCCGCCTGACTGTCCACCCGTCAGCCTGCAGTGCCACCCGGCAGGATGTAGTGCCGCTGCCCCCCCCCCCCCCCCCGACGGGCAAGATAGAGTGCCGCCGAATAGTATGTGCGTCAGGCTGCGGAGGCAGCGGGGCTTATACCGACCACTTCGATGTTCTGCACTCAACGCCGCTGTTCCTGGGTCTGGGACGTCGTGCCCGAGTGTACATACACGATCGCGATGTTCTGGTGTCTGTCCAGCCGTCATTACCACCGGAGCCGTGAGCTGAGTGCGTCTTACTTGGACTAGCCACGACTTCTGGAAGCTAATATTTCTGTGACCACTGATATCTGGTTCAAGTAGTTTTCACCGCCAAGACGCGCAACGGTTTAGAAGTTGTGCTGCGCAAATATTTAGGTGTTGCACGCAAGTTGCTCAGGCACGGTCCGAACCGACCTTGAATTCAGTACACTGTTGCCTAAGCTGGACCGGACTGTGGCCAGCGCACATGCGTGGTGCATTTCGGGCGATCGAGAAAACACTTTTTCGCGCTACCTTCTCCATTTTCAAAGCCAAAAATAGTTGCAAAATCGTCGACTTCGCCGATAAGTGCGCGTTGGGCCAAGAGGAAGTTATTACACAAATGATGGCCTATCCGATGATCATTCACAGAAATTCTCCATTTACGCTCGCCGGGTTCAAAATATCCCCCAACTTCGCCTCGCAGGCGCCAAGCAGTCAGCGGCGATAGCTAGGCATGGCGGAAGTTCCTTTGTCTGGACCATAATATACGGGACTAAGGTCCTGACCATCCTCTGAAAATTATGCTCAACTCTCCCTCGGCACGTGCAGTTATCTGATGATTCTCCTTGTGCGCGCTGCAAGCGCGATTCGGAAGTTTTTCAACATTCCAGGCAGGCTGCCGTGTCAACGCCCCCCTAAATCTCCAGGCCCGGCCGACTCGTTACCGGCCGGTTTCGAAGCACTCCAATTTGTGAAGTTACGCGAGGATGGAAGCAACCACGGGACGCTGGCCGGCTCAATTCTCAGGACGGACGATTTACAGATGCATTGAGCCCGCCTATTGGCATCGGTTCTTATCACCTAAAACATCATCACCTTATCACCAGCTGAAAACTCCCACATGTTTTCCTGCAGGGTGTATTCAAGTGTATTCGGCCACAGTAATACTACCAGAATTAGCAAGTACAACGGCGACGACCTAGCGAGACAACAGGTGGGTATGGATATGGCGGGACCCATAGCCTCCTCGAGTTATGGCGTTTAGGTCAGCACAAGGTCGTGTTTTGAAGACCCATAGGGCCGAGTGGTCGTGTCGCAGGCCGCGCTCTACCGCCAATCTCATTCTTGGGAGACTCGGCGCTTGTAGTCTCTTCTCTCGGCGACCCTGCAGGCTGTCGCGACATGCCGTCTTTGTGGTGAGCGTGCACAGCTGTGCACTCTCATTGTAAGGCCTCGTTAGTACCATGCCGCGCGAGACGCCAATATTCTGGTTGGCTGGTTTTCAGTAGTTTTCGGTGTGTGATGAGCGTGTGAGCTGCGAAGAGCTACGATCACGCTCGTAAGAAGTTCTCAGGCCTCGGTCCGCACCGCGTCACGAACAACGGGAGGGCAGCCCCAGTGCTGGCATTTGAAAACCATTGTTAGTACCATTTTTATTAAGGTCTGTTTTGACTCCTTACCTTTATCAAAGGCACACAGTTAGCACCATCTTACACATGCAAGCATACACACAAGCCACCACACAACTACCGACCGCAGCTTGACGACTATGACGCAATGGACAATGGATGACAGAATATCAATTTGAAACACGCATTCGGATCCTTGCAAACCTTTAAATTGGTTGCCAAAGAAGCACGAGAGATTCCGCTTTTCCTTCTCCAGAAACCGTAAGTCTGCACGATTTCTAGGTTATGCTCGAGACAATGGTGACATTCAAAGTAACACAACGGCGACGATGATAGTACGTAGTCAGCGACCACACACACATACACTATATATACATATATATATATATATATATATATATATATATATATATATATATATATGTATATATAATCAAACTAGCCAGCGCCAATATCATGCAGCTATGGCAGCACATTTCGGCCATGTCATCAGACGAATTATTATCTTCGGTTAGTCCTTGGCCGCCAAACTCCAAGGAACGATATTAACATAAAGTGGTAAAACATGTGTTGGGCTACTTCATTCTTCAGCAGGATTGCTTCGTCGACATGGCATGCAATGTTAGCCAAAATGTGGGGCTACCAAACAGGTTCGTGGCGGGTGACGTGGCAGGAGGTTCCGAGGCACCGCCGCAGTCGGGGCCCGGACAGCAATCTCGAGACACGTGGCGCAAGCCCTGGACGCCGAACAGGTGCACCGCAAAGCACCACACGCTCGGGTTACTGAAAAAGAGGCCTCAAGGGAAGACGGTCGCTGGGAGCTCAGGACGCCGACAAGAGGCGCGGGCCGGTCCCGGCCCGTGAACATTGTGATGCGAAAGGGAGCTCCGGGAGCGATCTATGATGGGCAGCTGAACCACTCAACCAGCGAGATATGCTACAGCCGTGTATGCGGACAACCTAACATGTGCAGGAGATCCGAGGGGCCGACGGGAGGAGACAGGAGGTCCGCAGGGCCGACGGGAGGAGGAGACAGGAGGTCCGCAGGGCCGACGGGAGGAGGAGACAGGAGGTCCGCAGGGCCGACGGGAGGAGGAGACAGGAGGTCCGCAGGGCCGACGGGAGGAGACGGGAGGTCCGCGGGGCCAACGGGAGGAGGAGACAGGAGGTCCGCGGGGCCGACGGGAGGAGGAGACAGGAGGTCCGCAGGGCCGACGGGAGGAGGAGACAGGAGGTCCGCAAAGCCGACGGGAGGAGGAGGCAGGTCCGCAGGGCCGACGGGAGGAGGAGACAGGAGGTCCGCAGGGCCGACGGGAGGAGGAGACAGGAGGTCCGCAGGGCCGACGGGAGGAGGAGGCAGGAGGTCCGCAGGGCCGACGGGAGGAGGAGGCAGGAGGTCCGCAGGGCCGACGGGAGGAGGAGGCAGGAGGTCCGCAGGGCCGACGGGAGGAGGAGACAGGAGGTCCGCAGGGCCGACGGGAGGAGGAGACAGGAGGTCCGCAGGGCCGACGGGAGGAGGAGGCAGGAGGTCCGCAGGGCCGACGGGAGGAGGAGGCAGGAGGTCCGCAGGGCCGACGGGAGGAGGAGGCAGGTCCGCAGGGCCGACGGGAGGAGGAGACAGGAGGTCCGCAGGGCCGACGGGAGGAGGAGGCAGGAGGTCCGCAGGGCCGACAGGAGGAGCAGGCAGGATTCCCGCAGGGCCGACGGGAGGGGACCGGAAGTCCTGGGAGTTCGGCAAGCGAGCCGTGGTCGTCGGCAGTGTGTGCGCGAGGGAGGCTCAGGTGCCCGGCTGGAGAGGGCAGGGGAGGAGAGCGGCTGACGCGGAGCTCAGGCCGCGGGCGCCCGGTCCCGCCACCACGGAGTCCCCGTCCTATTTGTCGACCATTTTCTCCAAGATGGGCACAATCTGGTCGAAGTTGGGTCGCTTCTTGGGGTCCTCGTTCATGCAGATTGTGATGAGGCGTGCAATATGGGCCGAGATGCCGGGCGGCGTCACCAGGCGCAGACCCTCCGTGGCCACCTTCATGCCTGTGGCGTCGGACCTACCGTCAGCGCGCCTGCACCGCACGCACAACACGGGTGTGCAGGGAGCAACACACTGGCCAAGCGCCAGTCACGTGCTGCAGCATTCACATGGTACAATGGATGCCAGAAAAAAGCCACAACTCTGGCATTTCCACATAAACTGGGTAATATGGTGCAAGTCGTTATACAAAAGTAAACACAGCATCATTCACACCGAAGTACCCAACTATGTCCAGGACTGCGCCTTAATGGTATGCGAAATAAAATGGCACCCCGGCCTTGCACAGTTAAAAAATGGCGACTGCAAGCGAGTAAGTGAAGGGGATTATATTTCAGCTGATGGAAATAAACCTGCTCTAGCCCGCGTTACCTTCCACAATGTATTGTGGCATCAGGACTGAATGCGGTAAACGTGACTTTGCCACATGAGCACTGTCTGCGGTAAAGGGCCCAGCTGAGCCCAGCTGCCACCCAGTAGCCTCAGCTCTGATTTGGTCCGGCCTGGCGGCCTGACCTGATCCGGCTCCGCGGCCTGACCTGGTCCGGTTCGACGGCCTGACCTGGTTCGACCTGGCGCCCTGATCTGGTCCGGCCTGGCGGCCTGACCTGGTCCAGCCTGGCAGCCTGACCTGATCCGGCCCCGCGGCCTGACCTGCGGCCTGACCTGATCCGGCCTAAAGGCCTGACCTGATCAGGCCCGGCGGCCTGACCTGATCCAGCCTGGCGGCCTGACCTGCCATGTCATGCCATTGGGGCTTTACGACGCACTCAGCTGCTGAGGCTATATGGCGTCGCCTACCTCTCACCCCGACAGGAAGGGCGGGCACCGCGGGGAATCGAACCCCGTACCTCTGGTTTTCCAGACGCGCATTGGTTAGCGCAGATGCATCGACCACTACACTACCGGCAACCCGGCGGCCTGACCTGATCCGGCTCCGCAGCCTGACCTGGTCCGGTTCGACGGCCTGACCTGATTCGGCCTGGCGCCCTGACCTGGTCCGGCCTGGCGGCCTGACCTGATCCGGCCCGGCGGCTTGACCTGGCCTGGTCCGGCGACCTGGCCTGCCCGGGCTCGGCGGCCTGACCTGGTTTGGCCTGGCGGCCTGACCTGATCCGGTTCGACGGCCTGATCTGATCTGGCCCGGCGACCTGGCCTGCCCAGGCTCGGCGGCTCCCCACCACTCACCGATTTCCATGGCCGAGTACTCGGCGAACGGCACGTCCCGCGTGGCCATCTCCCACAGCAGCACGGCGAAGCTCCACATGTCGGCCGCGTGGCGGTTGATCTGCGACGGACTCTTGAGCAGAGCTGTCGGCGGACGGCGACGCCGTGTGGTCAGGACAGCCGGGGCACGCCAACGCAGGCTGGGTCAGGTCAGGTCAGGTCAAGTCTGCTGACAGCGCCAACATATGGCGTAGCACACAATCGGGCTGCACGGTGGGCTCAAATCGAGCTCGATCACAACCGGTCGGGCCCGATTTGAGCCCGATGCAGAGTAAGTGCCACCTCGAAACGATACGGAGCAGCAGCGCCAGTGCTCACTCTGCTGGGGACGCTGCCTCTGTGCCGGCTCACACCCCTGAATTACAAACGTAAGGACGTCAACCTACGGACGACTTTGTGACACAGGCACCGACTTGAAGCAGTTAGCACACTGACATAGGTACCGGCCTGAAACCGTTAGCACACTGACATAGACACCGGCCTGAAGCCGTTAGTACACTGACATAGGCACCGGCCTGAAGCCGTTAGTACACTGACATAGGTACCGGCCTGAAACCGTTAGCACACTGACATAGGTACCGGCCTGAAACCGTTAGCACACTGACATAGGTACCGGCCTGAAACCGTTAGCACACTGACATAGACACCGGCCTGAAGCCGTTAGTACACTGACATAGGTACCGGCCTGAATCCGTTAGTACACTGACATAGGCACCGGCCTGAAGCCGTTAGTACACTTACCCAATCTCACGCTACAATGATGCTGAAAGACCTCCAGCCACAACACGGAGTTGTGGCCACACGCGGAATAACGCCCATTCCACAGCCAACCATGTATACCACCGTGGCAATCTGCCCACTGGCAGCCGCCGCCGATGACCGTCCCCAGACCCTGCCCATGACAGCCTCCAGACCCTGCCGATGACCGTCCCCAGGCCCTGCCGATGACCGTCCCCAGACCCTGCCGATGACAGCCTCCAGACCCTGCCCATGACCGTCCCCAGGCCCTGCCGATGACCGTCCCCAGACCCTGCCCATGACCGTCCCCAGACCCTGCCCATGACAGCCTCCAGACCCTGCCGATGACCGTCCCCAGACCCTGCCGATGACCGTCCCCAGACCCTGCCGATGACCGTCCCCAGGCCCTGCCGATGACCGTCCCCAGACCCTGCCGATGACCGTCCCCAGACCCTGCCGATGACCGTCCCCAGGCCCTGCCGATGACCGTCCCCAGGCCCTGCCGATGACCGTCCCCAGACCCTGCCCATGACAGCCTCCAGACCCTGCCGATGACCGTCCCCAGACCCTGCCGATGACCGTCCCCAGGCCCTGCCGATGACCGTCCCCAGACCCTGCCGATGACAGCCTCCAGACCCTGCCGATGACCGTCCCCAGACCCTGCCGATGACCGTCCCCAGGCCCTGCCGATGACCGTCCCCAGACCCTGCCCATGACAGCCTCCAGACCCTGCCGATGACCGTCCCCAGACCCTGCCGATGACCGTCCCCAGGCCCTGCCGATGACCGTCCCCAGACCCTGCCCATGACAGCCTCCAAACCCTGCCCATGACCGTCCCCAGGCCCTGCCGATGACCGTCCCCGGGCCCTGCCGATGACCGTCCCCAGACCCTGCCGATGACCGTCCCCAGACCCTGCCGATGACCGTCCCCAGGCCCTGCCGATGACCGTCCCCAGACCCTGCCCATGACAGCCTCCAGACCCTGCCGATGACCGTCCCCAGGCCCTGCCGATGACCGTCCCCAGGCCCTGCCGATGACCGTCCCCAGGCCCTGCCGATGACCGTCCCCAGACCCTGCCGATGACCGCCCCCAGACCCTGCCCATGACAGCCTCCAGACCCTGCCGATGACCGTCCCCAGACCCTGCCGGTGACCGTCCCCAGGCCCTGCCGATGACCGTCCCCAGGCCCTACCGATGACAGCCTCCAGACCCTGCCGATGACCGTCCCCAGGCCCTGCCGATGACCGTCCCCAGGCCCTGCCGATGACTGTCCCCAGGCCCTACCGATGACCGTTCCCAGGCCCTGCCGATGACCGTCCCCAGACCCTGCCGATGACCGTCCCCAGGCCCTACCGATGACCGTCCCCAGACCCTGCCGATGACCGTCCCCAGGCCCTACCGATGACCGTTCCCAGGCCCGGCCGGTGACCGTCCCCAGGCCCTACCGATGACCGTTCCCAGGCCCGGCCGGTGACCGTTCCCAGGCCCTGCCGATGACCGTCCCCAGGCCCGGCCGGTGACCGCATCGGCGGCCGCAGACTCACCCTCGGGCGCATACCACTGCGGGTAGTACACCTTGCCCTTGTTCTGGAAGCTGAACTCGGCGTCGGCCATATTCAGCAGCGCGGTCATGTCCTCGTCAATCTGTAGCGGGGACAGCCGGTCAGGGGCGGGACACAGAGTCCTCCGCACTTAGACGCCGGCGCCGGGAGGGGTGAGGAAGTTGAACGAGGGTTGGAATCGCTCCCAACCGGTTTTGAAAAGGCGTGGGCACACGCGGGAACGCGATAGAATTTATCGATCTCTTCAAATCAATCCTATTTGCGCGGCACCTAGGAAAGGCGTAATCCCACCAAAAACAATAGTCCTCAGCACATCAGATTACGTCGGACATTCAGGACATCCCAAGTTAACAGCATTCACGCTACACAATGCGTTGAGCCTTGCTCCAGTATGCAGCCCCGTAAAAACAAGGAGTACGGGATCAGCACTGATCATGACTACTTTTGCCTTCCGCAGAAAGCAAACATTCCAGTAACCCGTCACCGCCCGCCACCTCCTAGCCCAGTCTCCTGTCACCGTTCCAGTCCAGTAACCCGTCACCGCCCGCCACCTCCCAGCCCAGTCTCCTGTCACCGTTCCAGTCCAGTCGCCGTCACCGCCGGCCGCCTACCATAACGTGTCGGCTGCTCAGGTGAAAGTTGGGCACGTTGCGCTCGAGGCTGTGCAGGAAGCACATGCCGCGTGCCACGTCCAGAGCGAAGCGCAGCGCCTGCGCCGTGTCCACCACGATGTTGGTGCGCCGGTGCAGCACGTCGTACAGGCTGCCGTGCGGCATCAGCTGGTTCACCACCACCAGGCTGGGAGGCGAGTTGGAGCAGCCCAGAACTGGCTGGATGTTCGGGTGCGAGAAGATCCTGGCGGCGGCGACATGGCGATGGTCGTGTGCGACGGGAACAGACGGACGTGAATGCTGATGGTGGCCAAGAGTGGCACCCCAAGAGCCACGTACCAGCAGGGGTCCGTACGCCTCCCCCCCCCTTCCCCCCCCCCACACACACCCGAAGACCACTAAGGTCACTCAGAACAGGCAAAGGCATAGAATGCAACGAGGTCAACCAGTATGCAAGACACGGGCCAAGGTCAGAAGGGGTGCACTAAACGCGCTGGAAGAACGCCGACGACCGCGAGGCACGATCGCGAGGCATCAATGCAATAACGAAACAGACCACGCAGGCCAACCAAGGTTAACGAGTTCACAGGCGATGATCCACAAATAAGTGTAATGGCACGGCACAGGGAAAACTGACTCACATTACACCGGTATCGACTTGAGTGAAGCCATTTTCGCCAGACACTGCGCCAGTGCTTTAGGACCACAGCCCTTGACCAGAGCAATCACTAATTGGCACACATCGGGCGCTTTTCAAGACACCGCACAGACAAGGACGCGTCAGTCACGCGATGCGTTTACCACCCACAGATCCCGTGCGGCTGGCTGTCCACGTCGGCCGACACACCCCCGAGCGTGCGGCGCCGGCTCACCGGAGGCGGGGGAACTCGTCGTTGAAGTCACGGCTGATGCGTGCCGTGCACTCGCGCAGCGCCAGGATCTTGGCGCAGATCTCATTGCCCTGCCATTTGCCGCGCCACGTCTCGCCCGTCGGCGACGTGGCGATCTTCACGTGCAGATTGAGGTCGTTGATGGCGATGCCCTTGTGGCGCGAGAGTGTGGCGTCGCCTGGCGGCAGGCAGGCAGGTGGCGCCGTCAGCCGGGAGGGGTGACGCCAGCCGCCGCTCGGGACACGTGCCGAGGGGTGTTCAGTACGGGCCAGGGGCAGGTGGCGCCGTCAGCCGGGAGGGGTGGCGCCAGCCGCCGCTCAGGACACGGGCCGAGGGGTGTTCAGTACGGGCCAGGGGCAGGTGGCGCCGTCAGCCGCGAGGGGTGACGCCAGCCGCCGCTCAGAACACGTGCCGAAGGGTGTTCAGTACGGGCCAGGGGCAGGTGGCGCCGTCAGCCGGGAGGGGTGACGCCAGCCGCCACTCAGAACACGTGCCGAGGCAGTGTTTAGTGCAACCCAGGGGCGCAGCCTCAAACACTTCGACACCGACTACTGCCATTCATGGATGCTGAGTGATCCAATAGCATTGTCAGGTCGGGTCACTACAAACAGCTGTGAATGTGGCATTCGTACACCCCATTGTCCACGTCCTGACCCAGGGGAAGGAATGCAGAGGAACATACAGATAAATATGACAGATTACCAGACATCTGGAGAGCGGGGCAGTGCGCGGCAGAATAAGCCACGCGGCGGTGAGACAGCGCAGATTCGGCGACGATAACTCACGGCTCCTGGTCTTCATGCCCAGCCAGCTCTGGTCCTTGTACTCGATCCGGCGCAGCTCCTGGCCAGTCTGCACGGCCAGCTCGTGAAGACGGGTCGCCATCGAGCCCTTGCAGCAGTCTAGCGGCATCTTGCCTGCAAAGCCGGACGGCTTTTAGAGACTCCGGTTTGGTGCCATTGATCTACAGCGTGAGAACCTCCACTGCATCACAGGGACATATCAAACATAACAATACCATAAGCCTTGTCTCCAGACACTAGCTGGAAACAAGTAAAGGTCTTCTATACGCGCCGTACAGACGTGCCACACGCGTGAGTGCAACATTCAATGCACGACTATTGGACTTGTCACCAGCATGACCCTTTGGAGATGACCAGCTATGTTTGCTTCACAGGACCCTTGACACGCTCCGCGCCACCGGCACCGTTCGGTCATAGCTTCCACAGGGAGCCCGTGGTCAATGCTGGTCTCTCTTGTTTGGAACACTTGAACACTTGCATTGAAGTTCACACATTTTACACATGGGGAGGGGTCAAAAGTGAGCATTTGAAGTCAGAAAACTCCTGAAAGCTGTGTTGCCAGGACCAAAAGGGTGGGGGCGTCCTCCCAATTCCAGCTCTTCCAGTCGCCTCACCCCTTGGGATGGGTACACCAGATGTCCATCCTCGGTTCAGGGCGGTTGCCACTTGGCATGAATACATGCATCATGGTTCGCCGCCGTGTTTGTGAACATTAGACAAGGCACCAACTGTCACGTGCTTAGTGTCTATGGAATGCGACAGCATACAGAATCGGCCATAGGCCGTTAACTGTCATGAAATGATAGAGCTCAATAATGTCAGCTTTACATCTGGTTCGTCGAAATAGGTGTCATTCTCCAAACTGTCCATGCCAGGGACACTGAGCACTGATGGGTGCAATGACACCGAGCAGGCCACGCCCCGAGGCCGGCCCACGCGGCGAACGAGGCGGCGGCTCCGTACCGAATCGGTTGGCGATGGTGACGAGCGCGCCGGCCTGGATCAGGTCGTCGGCGATGCCCTGGTAGCTCCAGAAGCAGGCGTAGTGCAGCGGCGTGTTGCCATGCTCATTGGTCAGGTTGACATCAGCCTTGGAGCGCAGAAGCTGTCGGGACAGAGCAGGTGATGACGGGTAGACACGACCGCCGCCAGGTGGCCGGGCAGCACCCGCGCGGCGAGAGAAAAATGCGTCTGGGCACGATTCCTGGTGCTGTGCTTTTTAGGTAAGTGATCAAAAATGTAGCCATGAAAGATGAAGAAGAGGCCACAGGCAGTAAATATGTCAGATCAAACCAATACTGGAGTCACAACCTGCAAACGCCTCTGCAATGCCATGATCTTGATAAACATCAACAGTTATGAACATAATCATTTCACCAAGAAATAGATGAACCAAAATTAAAAACAGACATTCTGATTTCTCCCACATGCTTTCACAATGCCAATCTGGCCCACATAAGCTCGATGAATGAGTATTTTGAGGTGGCACAGTACAGAGCTCACATGACAGCTGTGACATAGCATGTAACAAGCAAAGGTAGTCTTAATTAGCCAGGACAACCATTTACCAGTTGGAGCATGCTGGCTTGACAGCAGCCAGCATGAGTATTTACTGTTTTGTTCACACTCCTGCACTAGAGAATTACAAAACTGTGAAAACCAACAAAAACAAACTTTGGGGTTTAAAAGAGTTCTTAAAACACAAGCCTACACATGCCATATCCCACAATACCCATTAGCACAATATCACGTCGACTTGGATGCAGGCTTCAGTTGTCAAAAATGAGCTAGAGATTCAATATCAAATAAAGTCGCGCCAGAACGTGAGTAAACTGACAAGGAGACAGACAGTTGATTTTTCTGGTAGCGCAGAGCTCGGCCGGTGGCCGCGCCGGCCGCGGCAGGCGGTGTCCGCTCACCAGCTGCACGACGGGCCGGTGGCCGTGCGCCGCCGCCAGGTGGAGCGGCGTGTCGTCGCCCATGTTGGTGGCGCCGATGCGCGCACCCCGCTGGATCAGCATCTCCACGATGCCGACGTGGCCGTACTTGGCTGCCCAGTGCAGGGGACTGAAGCCGTGGTCATCACTGGCGGTGGGGGAGGGGGGAGGGGGTGGCTGTCAGCATGCTGCCACATGACATGCAGGGCCAAACACCATGAACATCCCAACACATGGAAAATACCATAATTAGCACCACAAGAGCCACATCATCTGCATGTGACATATCAATGGCAGCTGACTGCCCAAGTAATTGCACCAGTGGAATGTAACCAGAAAAATAAGTAAATCCCTGCACTGGCAACAGTAGTTCCAAAAGCCTGCAAAATTTGGCTTCACATCCAGCCAGTCCATGTGTTAACCTTTGCTAGGTGAGGGCCACTTTCAATTGTGTAGCTGGCAAGAGGGTGATGAGCAGCTTGCACCATCTGACCCCAAACTGGGTCAGAGCTGTGAAACACAAACCTGTGAATAAGCTAGTTATTAATGAATCTAGATTGGCTGCTTAGGATTGACCAGTAACTATCTACATAAGATAAACCTTGCTACATATATGATACTAAGGACCACAAAGTAACAAATTTGTTAATGGAGTACAGACTGATTCTATTCTATAAAATGGATATGCAAAACCTTTGGAATATGCTTTATTGTAGGAAATGATTTAAAACTAAGTCAATATAAAGACAGTTATCATAAATCCTTTGTCTCACCAATACTTGAAACAATTGCTGGCCTACCAATTGGTTCACACATTTGCAGACTACCATCCATATAACTCCAATGACACTTATGTACCAGTTGCTACTGAGGAATCGCAAAAGCTGACAATTGTGAGCACAAAGGCTTTGGAAGCCTTCAAAAAGGATGCCATGGGTCTGTGACCAGGCATGACTTGGGTTTGACTGCTTTTGTTTTCACAGCATATCCAAGAAATTGCAATCAGACATGTCAAATGTCATACCTCTACCCTTGATCATCATTCTAGTCCCCAAAATACTGCTCGGGAGGGAACATTCATCTTAACTCCCTATTGTTACAGGTTCAAGGGATCAGGATCAATGAAAACATTGGTGTTTTAGCTAAATGCACAGAAAGGCATGGCTAAGCCTCCAATTCCATTAGCATCCCTTTTCTAATAAAGCTTTCTCTCTTTGTGCTATAATGTCATGTTTTGGTGTTAAATCTATCAATATATAAGAGACCATCCTATAAATTTAGTCTGAGCTCCTTGTCAAATTTATCACTTTGCTTGGTTTCTCATGGATACATATGTATGTAAACACAGTGTGAACCCATAACTGTTTAGGTTACAAAACTGATGCCATTGCAACACATTGTGCACTTGTTCGATTAATCCTAAGCTTTCCGAGCATAATTAAGGCAGGCACTAATACATAAAGCCCCCCTATAATGGTGCATATCATAAAGGGGCATAGTGTCACAAAATAAGATAGGGGGGGGGGGGACTGGCAAGTAAAAAATGACCCAGTCTACACCAAAATTACACCAAAAAGCTGGCTAATCCCAAGATATTGCCTACTTTCCTCCCAAAGTTAGGGGAAGGCTGAAACCAAAACAGGGGGGTTTCACCTAAAGCCCTCCCGACCAAAAAGGAAACCACACCCCTGATATCCTACAAACCTGGAATAAACCATATGGAATAGACATAATTAAGAACAATTTGAAACAGCATCTCAAGGCATGGACACATTCTCAACTTATGGGGAGCTCAAGTCCACATACAAGCTTAACTTGTAATTGACAAACCCAAATGCAATTAAAACTATCAGGTTTTAACAAAGCATGCCTTCACAGCACAATAAACCACTCATGCTAGAAAAAATCAAACGTGCCATGGCAATTTCATGCAAACACAAGCACACTAACACTAAAATATACAAATATACCAATAAGATAAAGATAAGTCACATCTTACCCCTCATTCATGTCATGCTCTGTATCATCAAGCCATACTCGAACATGGAAGGGATTGCCCTCCCTCACATATTGAAATATGTCATCCATTTCTTCAGTCTTGAAACCTGTCAACAAAAACCAATATGTTGCAATGCATAAGATGGGGAAACTTGCATTAAGTACACTTATGACCTGGTGTCTAATTTGCCATGCTAGAACAAGCAATGACTGAGTAGTCCTGGGGAGGCCTGTATTTAATTTAACATAAATTAGGTCAGAAGTCACATCATTTCAATGAGTCACAACTAAGTTGATTCTTTTGTACACCAAAGTAAAGATAAATCATGACATGATACATAACCCCTATGAAGTTGATATGAATCAAATAGAGTCAGCATGAGGACCGACCGAATACATTCATGATTTAATTTCTATCTACAAAAAAATCATTTAATTCTAAAGCAGAAAGCTGTAAGCCATTTATGCAAAGACAACTCAACACATGCACAAGAAAACCATTATTTTCTCCCGAGCACAGTAGCCTTCAAGTAAATGGGTATCCACATCACGATGTTCATTCCTAAGTGTTCAACTTCATGCATGCGGCACCAGCACGGACCTAGGGAACCTAAAACTAACAGGTGTCAAATTCACAATCGCCCAGCGCGAGCCAAGGGCGGGGCACAGTCCGCGGACTGCCTGTTCTGCATAACACTTACGATACTCTACAAATGTGACGCATGTGGCATTTATATACTCTTCCTCTAGCAAGAACCCCACATCTCTGTCATAAAGCACGCGGATAGATGTCGTGGGTCATCTAGACATACATGTGGGATGAGTGTGGGGCTGCAAGAGCTGCAGGATGGGTCATGCATGTGCGGCGTTTTCGGGGGGAACGGTGCATATAAAGCCCTGTTAAATTTTTGCATGAATCGATATGCATGCGGGTAAACGTGCAATGGAAAATTATGGCAGACGCAAAATAAATAACCTGCAATCAAACGAAGTTGTGGTTAGCTGCCCATGTTGCGACGAACTTGGAGCACCTTCAGCGCTCTTATACATTTTTCGGCAAAAACTAAGAGTTGTGCCTCACCCGCACAGCAAAATCCTGTGAGCGTCCCTGTGTGCGTTCGGAGAAAGGGGCGGAGATGGTGACAACCACTTTCCTTTTTTGGGATGTTCGAAATTCACAGCGGGACCCAAGACAAACGCTGATTTGGTGTCCATAAGCAAGAGCAAGGAGAGCTTCTCTTCCTCACTACACCCCTATACCGATAGCCCGCTTGGCTGCCGGGCTAAGCCGGAAGAAAGGGAAAAGAAACAGGGAATGGCGGAGAGTGCGAGCTCACACACTTTCTCTATAGGGGGGGGGGGGGGGGGGGGGGTAGTCTCCCGCAACCCTCTATGGTTACCGCGCCATTAATTCTGACGGTGCGCAGCTTCGACCTCTTCTTGTACCGTTCTTTCCACCAGGAAAGGGTGAACCATTACACAGTCATTTATTGGCGATGAGATGAGCGAGACAGACACCTTGGACCTCCTCCAATGCGGACGCTTGTGACGTAAAACGCAGAAGTCACGGAATCATGACTTTTCCAGCGGGGCATAGTTGAGAAGCTTCTCGATTAGGTCCACATGACCCAGCAGCATCCGGCGGCAGCAGTACTTGCGCAGACCGAGCGCGTCCAATGCATCGCTGCAATGACGGCAAAGAAAACAGGCATCAATCACGGTGTTTGCCGGTGCTGCACATCAACGACCAAAGTCGTCAGCTTCTGTTGCAGAATTGCATCTAGAGACGGCTCACGGTACCTAAATATTTTGGTACGGAATGTAAAATGTGACCGAAAAAGTCGAAATCGGAGCTTTCTCCAACGTGTACATCGTATGTACTGCATGGCCAACACAGGCGCGGGAATGATTCGGGAAAGTGCGTATGTGGAACGGGGGGGGGGGGGGGGTAGGTGGAAAAGACATCTGACGTCCATTCCCGCCACGCATCTTCGGAGGATTAATGCCTGACGGTGAAAAAAGTGGGGAGCCTTCGCCCCTCCCTTCGCCACACCACAAGGACTTTTGCTACAAGGAAGAAAGATTACTGGAGATTGTCCAAACAAATATGCGTAAAAACTATGCCACACAAGAATAGGTCGTGCTTTTCAATTGTCTTCAAATAATGTTTTCAACAATGTATTCATAGCCCTTGCACCAGAACATTGTTAGTTTACAGCAAACAAGTAAATCAAACAGATGGCAAAATTTCCATGCATAGGGCTCATCCACAGGGATAGAAAGGCCCACCTGAGGTGCTCTGGGAGCATAGCATATTGCTGTTGTTATGACTATTGCATGTACATTGATGCAGAGCTCAAAATTCTACATTGTGGAAGCTTCTAATCATCTATCTATCTTTTGTATATACATACATATATATAGATAGATAGATAGATAGATAGATATATATATATATATATATATATATATATATATATGTATATATATATATATATATATATATATATATACATACATATACACATGTGCATCAATCTATCAAGCTATTTATGTATCTCTATCCTCCCACAAGCACAAATCTCACCCCTCTGTGTATTCTGCCTGCAGAAGGCCCAGGTATGCCTCCCACTTGTTGCCGACCACCTTTCCGCAGGTGAAGCACCGCACCGGGATAATCATCCTGTAGGGTGGATAAAGGGGTCACTGAAATGACAGCAAGATGTTCATCTGATGGGGACCACACCCACCCTGCCATGAGCCAAATGCACAATGTCTTCAAGCTGTGAACACAAATGATAAGTCAAGAAGAAAAAGCCCCAGTCATATCAATTCTTACCCAGACACTTTAGGATAGTAAGCTTAACATGAGGTCATGCAATGCTCCGTGTTCCTCCAAACAAACCATAGGCTGTGGCTGTAAACAGCTGTATCATCAGGAAAAAAACAAATGTACAATGAACATCATGATGGGTTGACACATGTACATAACACAATCAAATTGAAATACCACACAAGCACATGCAATGACACATGACCCACTCCAGTAATATAGACAACTTTGATTTTTCACAATATTCAATGTATATGATGAGGTGATGCTAATTAGCACTGGAAGCTTATTGCAAATGTGTCAAGACTCTTAGATCTTCAAAGGAGATGAGAACTTTGCTCTGCCAAGATACTAAAATTGAAAGCCAAAATTTCACTGTCATATGCATATCAATGATCTCATATGACTGAGAAGTCAGGTTTTACAAGGAATTTTTCCATCTGGATATATTTATCTAAATGTCGCTGAATGCAACTGTACAAGCTCCAAGTGTGGAACCTATGGCTTTGGCTTTCAATTGCAGCATGTTGGGTTAGACATATTCATTCTTTATTTAAAAATTCTGGTATTTAAGCATTTCCAAGAGACATACTGTGCTTAATAACATATCTTCACCTTACACATTAGAGAGTGCAATAACACAACATATGTATGTGGTATTGGGGGTGGGCCATGCATTATTGCTTGGAATTGTCTGGTGTGTTCAATATGTGTGTTGTGTATGCATTAAACCATTGTGATGTTCAATGCACATGCATGTTTTTTGCCTGACAATCCTGCCATTGTTACCTGTGCAACACATCACAGGCTAATATAAGATGTACATAAATATATGCATATCAATATATCTAAATATATATAAGCATTGAAACCACTTCAAACAATTCACCAGTGAATGCCAAATGCCACTGGTGTTGAATTCAATGTTCAACAATACACCATGGGTTATTATTTTATATCACTAATCTGAATTGGCAACTGCTTTTTTAATTAAGTAATTAACATGTCCTTACCATCCTTTACTTTTGAGCATTAATTGCTTATATCAGTGTTATGCTTGCATGCATTATCCCCACCATTAGCATCAATGTTGAGGAATAAAGGCATGAATACCAAGTAATTATCTAGATGAGTCATCAAAATGATTGTTCCCTCGCCACTACTACCTTGCCTCTTTCTGCAACTATAAAAAATGTATACAAGTAAGGGGAATATGTAAAATATGATCCTGGTATTGCTTTGGTATAAAAAGAAGCAGGAACCACCCTAAAATAAATCATCTGTACATACTACCTAGCCAGAAAACTTAAATGCACAATGGCAAAACATGAAGGGAGGAAACCAATGTAACAGGCTCCAAAAGGTCATAAAGAACTTGAAACCCCAATCAGCTGGGGTGCAAGCTACAGCATCACTGGTGTAAGCCTCACACCTACTGAAGCAGCCTAAAGCAGGCGTACTATTTCATAAAGTGAGTTGGGGGGGGGGGGTACAGTGGAAAAATGATAGCCTGCCTCCAAAACACACCAACAAATAGGTTTCTACACACACACACACACTGCCCCCTTTCTTCAAAAATTTAGGAGGGGCAGACTGAAACCCATGTTGGTAGGGTTGAACAACCCTCCCCCCGCGCTGGAAAGGAAACTATGCTCCTGACCTGAATTATCAAATATTGTACGCACACCATGCAATACTGGAATCAACATGCACCAGACAGTTATGGCTGCAAGAACTAACAAGCCATAACATCTTAAATGCAACTTCGGGTACCCACCTTCCGACAGAACACTAAGGACCACCGGACCACCCAAAAATGTTTCAATTCGCCCAATTCACTGGACCAGTGCCCTGGCTCGCCCTAACTTTTGATGGCATCACCCCGCGCGATACAGCATGTCTGAATAGCGCCATATTAAACTGCATCAAATCATACCACTATATGGGATTAAATAGAACCATATTAAAATGTGGTTGGATGAAAGAAATAAGTGAGTGAAAATAAGCAGCCATGCATACCAGCTTAAGGCATAGATTCTATTTCAGACAAATTATTTTTGCCTAAAATTAGCGTTTTAAGTCAAAATATTCAAACGCTTGAAGCACTGACGCTCCGCGCTCTTCTCTGACGTCACTCGATGAACCGACATGCTGTCGTGACGGTCGAGAGTTCTTTATCTGAAAAATCGGTCTCTGGGCCTGTCACTTCTAGAGCCACACCTGTCTTCATCCAGTAGCGCAGACGGGAGGTCCGGGAGGCACGTGCGCCCAGTGGGGCACGAGGGCACGTCCAAGGGATCCTTCGGGCCTATCGATGCATGCGATTGAGGGCCCGAAAGGCCCGCTGGAAGTTGCGTTCAGAGACACCGACCCGCAGGGCCGGACACTCCAATGCCAGTCAGAAGGCCTTGTGCGCTGATCAGGGGTCTCCTGAGTTGATAGCGGCCGATATGTCGGTCATACACCACCCGTAACGCACAGTCGGCATGGTGTCGGCATGGGCCTGAGCAGGGGCGACGCCACCGGGGGTGGAGGGGGGGGGGGGGGGAGGGAGGACACCCCATCTATGGTCGGATAAGGTTAAGGTCAGTCCCTCTTATTCCAGCAGCCTTCTTGGCAGAATAAATATACTGTGTACGTAAATTTTCATTAAAGGGCCTCCCAATTTTTGCCGTAATTAAGTGGTCCCACATCGGTTGAATTACATTGTTACAAAGCTGGTACGATGCTCCTGGGACTTCAAAAGACCGCTCGGCGATATTCCCACTACTGCTCGAGCACATTCAATGCCTCCGTGCCTGGGGCTCAAAGCCGGATTAGGAGGTGATTGGGCCATCACGTGTCTGCAGCCTATG